TGGAGTCATGTGAACATGCCAGAATCAAACCAATTTGCCTTTTTTTGAAAGTAAGTTTCTAGCTCTAAGATCAGACACCAGAAGGCAAATGCAAAGAACCCAACATTGACTGTTTAACTTCTCATGATTTTAAAGCCAAATTCTGAGTTTGGTGGCCTGTCTCATGGGTTTTGAATGATTGGGGTTGGCAATGCTGAACTTGCTCCTTCATCTCTCCTCTTCTCCCCACATCCACTCTTTTTAGCAATTTTAAAGGTGACCTGCAAAGGATGTTTACAAGATTGGTAGTATGGCCCTTTTAAATCTCCATACAATGTATAAAGAAGGCTGGCCTTTTTTTTTTTTTTTGGTTTGTTTTAATTTTTGCTTTCCTTGTTTTTTTTTTACTGTAGGGTGCCAGAGAGAGTGCAGAGTGACGCTGCTGTAGCACAAAATGGCAGCAGGGGCCGAGCTGCCCTCCCCCAGCCCCAGAAAAGAGATTCCCAGCACAGCTGCATTGCTTGGCTGCTTCATTGCTTGCTGGTGGCACTAGTGCAGCTCTATTCTAGTGCATGTTAACAGAGCATTTGCATGTCGGCCCCTGGGAAATGTACCTTGTGTTCAGCGGGTTACATAAAGAGCAAGCTGGACTTTCCATGGAAACCAGCTTTGAGCACAGTGTGAAGGGCATACTGGGCTCAGCTCACTGCTTGCGTTAGTCTACTCTTATCCAGCTCCCTCCTCGGGAGTAAATCCCTCTTCCTACAACTGCTGGCAGGCAGCTCAAAGGTTAGAGAGCGGCCCTGCAGCGCTCTGAATCCAGATCCACGGATATTCCCCTCCGGGTTTTGCAGGAGCCTCCAGGAGATGGTTGGAAAGGGGCATCTGCTCAGTTTCTTGTGCAGAGGGTCTCCCAGATCAGTTGCTCAACAGCCCTTGAATGAGCGCAGTATTAAGAGGCAGCAGAAAGGCCTGCCCTGACACACACACCCCTTCTTCTAGCCCAGCCCTCCGCCTCATCGGCCTGCCACACAATGGCAGTACAATGAGCATCAGAGAGGAGAAATCCTGCCCCTTAGTCAGCAGCAGGCCACAAAAGTGCTCCCCAGCCAGGGAAGGGTCCACCCCAATTTCTTTCTGTCCCAGGGGTGGGGGGGGGGGTGCACGAGCCTGCTGCACTTCTCTGAAACAACTGCCCCAGCGCTGTGGGCAATTCCGTGCACTAGACGGAAGCCCAGAGCTCCCCTGAAATTGTTTAGTGGGGGATGGGTGGTGGGGGCGTTAAACCTGCTTCAACAGATCTGCCATTGTGCAGTGACTCATGACAACGTGAATACCTGATGAAGCAACACAACTCCACACAGCTGCTATATTAACAGTGAAGCCCTTGAAAGCGCAGACCTGAGTTTCGCACCAAGTTACTCAAACAGCATATTCCTTCCAATACCATTCCCGTGGTCCAGCCCACTGCACTGAGGCTGGAGTCCACTGCGGCCACAGACCGTGGGCAGGGATACAAAGGCTCAGGCAGGCAGGGGAAGGCATGTGTGGGCCAGTGGGAGGTTTGCACAGAGAGAGCTGGGTGGACGTGACCTGTATGTTAGCTATCATTATTTCAGCAAAAAGAAAAGGAGTACTTGTGGCACCTTAGAGACTAACCAATTTATTTGAGCATAAGCTTTCGTGAGCTACAGCTCACTAGCTCACGAAAGCTTATGCTCAAATAAATTGGTTAGTCTCTAAGGTGCCACAAGTACTCCTTTTCTTTTTGCGAATACAGACTAACACGGCTGTTACTCTGAAACCTGTCATTATTTCAGCATTGCTCCATGGGAGCCTGCACTCCTTCAGGCCTATCGCTATGTCTGCCCTTTGTTTCTCTTCCTCCTGCATCCTCCTTTCTCTGTGCCTCTCCTTATTCCCTGTGTCGCTCCTCGTTTCCTCCTTCTCCAGTTCCTGACTCCTCATGGGCCTCATCCTCTTCCCCAGTCCACTGCTAGAATGAGCAATGAAATAGTTAATGCTGACATTTAAGGAGACATGGGGGGAGAGGGGGAGAAGGAAACATACCACTCTGAGTCATTGTTTCAGCCTGCCTGCAGACTCAGGCAGACATCCCTGCATCAGCTATACTCCGTTCACACTTGGAAGGTTTCTTTGTAACCACAAAGGCTAGAAGCAGCTGAGATTCTGACAATGCTACATAGGCCACATAACGACACTGGGGGCAGGTTCACCCACGTCTGTATGACTAGCTTTCCTGCTATACTGCTTTTCTTCTGTAAGGAGCCAAAAGCATATATATCCAGGAATCACTTCACTCAACATTGAAAGGCTGTCACTTCTGTGATGGAACACTGTTTAACAGTGCACAGCAACACCACACAACAGTCCACAGCATGAAACAAATAATAGAAGCATTGCTGGGCAAGTTTAGTTCCCCTGCAGCTCTGTCTAAGGATATATCTACACTAGAGACTATATTGGTGTAGCTATGCCGATATAACCCTATAGTGTAGACGCAGCAGGAACACGAGCCCCTCCTCCCCCCAACAATGCTAGCTAGGCTGACAGGAAGCCCTCTGTTGTCAGCTTAGGTGAGTCTACGCTAGGGGTCATGGCAGCATACCTACGTTGGTTGGGGCAGGGGTCATAGCTATGTCTTGATATAACTTTTCAGTATAGATCAGCCCTCAGTCAGCAGGTGGCAGTGTAGAGCAGTTGTGACTTTACTGGACATGTACCTTGAGGAATGGTTTGTGTTATTTTAGTTGTGATCTAGCAGTTTCTTGTCCCTCGCTCTGTCTAACATTGCTGGGTTTTAGCTTTTTTACTCTGAAAGTTTGTACGATTCCAGCAGAAGTGAACAGGGGGAGTTTTTAAAAGCAATTTGAGGGTGAACAATGGGATGAGCAGAGAAGCAGGCCGGACCTCACAACTTTGGCAGATCTGTCACACATTCCTACATCTGCGGTGAACTGTCACCTGTTGGTTGGTGCATATGGCTGTGTGTGTGATAGACACATGCAGAGACTCCCCTGAAAGATACCCCAGAGCTCTCACTAACAAGCCAGGAGCCAGGAGTTCTCATCTCAGCTCTTCCACTGACCGCTGCACCCCACTGAGCAGAAAACCTGAATGGGAGCCATTAAGGCCCTGTCTACACTACAAAGTTAAGTCGACTTCATGTAAGTCAACATCGAGCCTCCAATTTAAGTAAGTCGATCTTGTGTGGCCACACTACACTCATTGTGTTGGCAGAGTGTATCCTCACTAGCAGGGCTTGCATCAACGCACGGAGCACTGCACTATTGGTACCTATCCCATGTAGCTAGTGGAATTTTGGGTTGGGTTTGCAACAAAACTTTGGCACGGGTGGTTATGGGAACATGACGTTAGCCTCCCATGATGCACTTACCTCCCTCCCTCCTTTCCTGGCAAATAACCAAGCCTTTTTCGCAAGTTTGGGTTATCAGAGCAGACGCCATAGCACAATAAGTATGGATCCAGCTCAGCTGTATACTGTTGTTGTGAGCCTTACACAGACCTCGTGCCTTATCCTGAAGAATTTACAGAGCTGATACAGGAGCTGCCGTGCGGAACAATGTGATGCCATGCAAGCAGCCATGCCAGAAGACATAAAGCAGAGCAATTCACAGTTGCTGGCAACGGTCACGCATCACCTTGACATGGTTGAACGCTATTTCTGGGCCCAGGAAACAAGCACTGACTGGTGGGACCACATTGTTATGCAGCTATGGGATGACAAGCAATAGCTGCAGAACTTTCAAATGTGTAAGGCCACTTTCCAGGAACTGCGTGAAGAGCTTTCCCCAGCCCTGAAGCTCAGCAATACTAAAATGAGAGCTGCTCTGACAGTGGAGAAGCGAGTGGCGATAGATCTGTGGAAGCTTGCAATGCCAGACTGCTACTGGTCAGTGGGGTATCAATTTTGAGTCAGGTTTCAGAGTAACAGCCGTGTTAGTCTGTATTCGCAAAAAGAAAAGGAGTACTTGTGGCACCTTAGAGACTAACCAATTTATTTGAGCATGAGCTTTCGTGAGCTACAGCTCACTTCATCAGATGCAGATTTGAGTCAGTAAATCTACCATGGGATCGATCCAAGTTTGCGGGGCCATTAACAGACTTTTGCTAAGAAGGGTAGTGACTCTGGGCAACATGCAGGACATAGTGGATAGTTTTGCCGCAATGGGACTCCCTAACTGCGGTGGGGTAACAGACAGAACACATATCCCTATCTTGGCACCAGACCACCTTGCCAAAGAGTACATAAATCAAAAGGGTACTTCTCAATGGTGTTGTAAGCGCTGGTGGATCACAGGGCTGTTTCATCGACATCAAGGTGGGATGGTCGGGAAAGGTGCATGATGTGCGCATCTTTAGGAACACAGATCTGTTCAGAAAGCTGCAAGCAGGGACTTTCTTTCCAGATTGCAAAATAACCATTGGTTATGTTGAAATGCCAATCATGATCCTGGGAGACCCAGCCTACCCCTTGATCCCATGGCTCATGAAGCCGTACACAGGCAGCCTCGACAGCAGTAAGGACCATTTCAACCATAGGCTGAGCAAGTGCAGAATGGAGGTGGAATGTGCCTTTGGATGTTTAAAAGGTCACTAGCGTTGTTTGCTTACTAGGTTAGACCTCAGTGAAAGCAATATCCCCATAGTTATTGTTGCCTGCTGTGTGCTGCATAATATCTGTGAAACAAAGGGAGAAAAGTTTCCGCTGGGGTGAGGGGTTGAGGTAGATTGCCTGGCAGCCAATTTTGAGCAGCCAGAAACCGGGGCAATAAGAAGAGCACATCGAGGGGCTCTGCATCTCTGTGACGCTTTGAAAGCCAGTTTCAGCAATAAGCCAGAGTAATGTGACACTTATCTGTTGTTCCTTACCAAACTGTCCCCTCCATTGCATTTTCTTCCCTGTAACCTCCACCCCCACCAACTACTGTGTGTTGAGTGAAGAAAGAGCCTTTTCTCCTCGGTCCATTAAGTTTTATTGTGCACTCAAACACACAGAGACAGCAAAGAAAAGTAAGATAACCTTGGGCAAAAGGTCTGATAACATTGTGGGGGGAGAGACAAGGACAGCTTGCTTACAGATTGTAACAAAGCAGCCTCTGGCAGGACAACTGAGAGTACCAATTCAGGACAAATTGCTTAGAGCAGGGCAGTCACAGCCCAAGACTGGGTGTCCTTTATTATTAAGTCACACCAAACCAGCCAAACAGAGAGGACTTCGGTTTTACCCCACTGGCTAACCAGAAGTTATACAAGCAATTCCCTCAGATACTCCAGTTCCCTTGTATCACCACCAGCACCACTCCTTATGGGGATGAATGGTTATGAAAACAAATAACCCAGTAAAAGAAAAAAGGTTCTCCCGATCCCAAAGGACCAAGCCCCAGACCCAGGTCAATATAAAAGTCAGATATTACCCACAAATCACGCTGTTGCCAATCCTTTAGAATCTAAAATCTAAAGGCTTATTCATAAAAGGAAAGAAATATAGATGAGAGCTAAAATTGGTCAAAGTAATCAATTACATTCAGCAATGGCAAAGTTCTTGGTTCAGGCTTGTAGCGGTGATGGAATAAACTGCAGGCTCAAATCAAGTCTCTGGAGTTCATCCACAGCTTGGATGGGTCATTCAGTTCTTTGTTCAGAGCTTCAGTGTAGCAAAGTTCCTCCAGAAGTAAGAAGCAGGATTGAAGACAAAATGGAGATGATGCAGCTGCCTTTTATAGTCCTTTTGCCATGTGGCTTGTGCTTCCTTTGTTCCAAACACAAGCTGCCCAATACATTGCATGGAAAAACCTTAAAGTTCAGTCCATAGGCATGTCCCTGCATGCCTTGCTGAGTCACAAGGTGTATCTGCCTTCTCTCAATGGGTCAGTTGTATAGCTGATGGTCCTTAATAGGCCATCAAGCAGGCGAGGCAGTGCTGATGCCCAATTGTCTGGGTTGTCACCCAGAAGCATAGCACAAGTTTGAAATACAGACAGCATAAAGCCAATACTTATAACTTTTAAATACAAAAATGATACATGCATACAGATAGCATCATCACAATCAGCAAATCATAACCTTTTCATAGACACATTACTTGACCTCCTTTGTACCAGATTTGGTGCCACTATATGACCTTGGTTGCAACAATGAGCTATACGGTCACAGTTCATATTAATAACATCACACAGATGCACTGCAATAACAATCAAAGGTGTGGGAATGAGCACCTTCTGGTCCTTGTACCCTCCCCTGGTATTGAGTGCAAGGGATACAAAACTTCCTCCTCTCCTCTCCCATCCCCCGTTGGGAGAGGAGGACATAGAACTGGACGATGATGGCACAGGTTCAGCATAGGCTGCAGGGAGACTCTAGCATCCAGCTGTCTTTCTTGTACCTCAACCAGATGCCTCAACATGTCTGATTGCTCCTTCATAATTCGCAGCATCTCTTCCTGTGTGCCACACTCTTGTTCCCTGCATGCTCTCCCTCCTCTCTGTCCATGTGCAGGTTGTCGGACAGTGCAATCCTCCATGCTCTGAGCTCCTTCTTGTCACTCTCGGAGGTGCGCACTAACTCATTGAACATATCCTCCCGAGTCTTCTTTTTCCGCCTTCTAATCTGGGAAAGTCTCTGACCCAGTGTGGAGGATGTACCGACAGACAAGGTTTCAGCTGGAAGGAATGCAAAGCACAAGGGTAGCATTGACAGTACATACATTGTTTCTGGTGCAAGGTTAATTTTTTTTATTAAAAAAACACCCCTCAATACACTTCACTGCAAGCCACAACATAATCACAACAGCTGGCTATTGCAAGAATCGGTTTTCTGCTCCAGCCATGGTGAGTAAGGCCAAGAAGCATGGGCGGGAGGTCTTGTGCTGCAGCTTTTGTGAAGACATCCTCGAGATCACTGGTTGGAACTTGAGAAGGAATGGTTTGTCTTCCTTCCCCCCCCAAATAGTTTGTTTTTTACAAAATTGGCACCAGGTTGGGGGGGAAGGGAGAGAACAGGAAGCCATCACCCCTCCCCCTCTTTTTTTTCCAATGCTGCTTGCAACAGACGGTGATCCCTTCCAACCACAACCACGGCATGTTGGGAAAATGTGGTTGTGTGACCCATATTTCACCAAACAGGAGGCAGATTACTTGTCAAATTGCTTGCGGTTTAAGGACGAGCATTGAAAACTTTTCCCATTTCCCCTAGGTGACCCTATGAGATATCACTCTCCAGAGGGCAACAGAGGTGGCAAGGGAGCAGATGCTGCAAGCGTCTGGGTACAGACTGATCCTTATGCTGAAATGCTATGTGCCGCAATGATGCCAGCAGAGTTAATACTGGAGTGGCACGGGAAGGTGTCCTACCTTGGTGGACGAAATAAAGCAGCCCTTTCCAGAAACCTTCTGCAAAGGATTGCAGAGTACCTCTATGAAACTTCCTAGAGATCTCCATGGAGGATTCCCAGGCCATCCCCATGCACACAAATGGTCTTTTTGGACAGCACCCTCTGCGTAGCTGGAGTGGCCACTGATACCCGTTGTTGTTCAGATTAAACATAAAAAATAATAGCATGTAATCCCTACAGTTTGATTGGGAATGTGTACTCACCAGAGGTGCCTTCCCCAGCATCATGCTCCACCGCCAACGGGTCCTGCGAAGGGACAGGCTCCAGGGCTAAAAATAGTTCTTGGCTGTCAGGGAGAATGGATCCTCTGCTTTCCTGCCTCACATTCTCCTCCTCCTCCTCTTCCTCATCAACAATGTCCTCCTTGTTGTTGCTTGAGGTCACCCAGGGCTCCTGGGAGGTATCCATGGAATGTTTTGGGGTAGGGGTGGGGTCACCGCATAGAATCGCATGCAGCGCCTCATAAAAGCAACATGTCTGTGGGGCAGAACCAGAGCAACCGTTCACCTCCCTTGTCTTCTGGTACGCTTGTCAAAGCTCCTTTATTTTCACGCGGCACTGCTGTGTGTTCCTGGTGTAACCCATCTCCCCCATGCCCCGCACAATCTTGGCATAGATATCAGTGTTTCTTCTGCTGGATTGGAGCTCTGCCTGCACTCTTCTGTCCACACATCAATAAGATCCACCACCTCCTGTGTACTCCATGCTGGAGCATGTTTGCGGTCTTGAGACACCATGATCAGCTGGGCTGGCGAGCTCTCCACGCTGATCAAATGGGAAATGGAAATTCAAAAGTTCCTGAGGCTTTAACAGGAGAGCGGCTGTTTCCTGTGTACCTGGCTGACGTGCACTGAAGTTCAAAGTGCTCTCCAGAGCGGTCACAGCGGACCACTGTGGGACACCTCCTGGAGACCAATTCATTCGAATTACACAACGCAATGTCTACACTATCCCCATGTCGACCCGGGGATGTCGACTCAAGCACTATGCCTCTCGCGGAGGTGGAGTACAGAAGTCGACTTTACAGGCCCCTTAGGTTGGCAGAAGGGACTCGGTAGTGTAGACACATATATTATTAGGTTGACTTTAACATGGCTTATGTCAACCTACGTTTGTAGTGTGGACCAGGCTTGAGTCATCAGATGTGTAGCCATGTATTCAGATGTAAGAACATAAGAATGTCCATATTAGGCCAGACCAAAGGACTGTCTAGTCCAGTATCCTGTTTTCTGACAGTGCTCAATGCCAGGTGCCCCAGAGGGAATGAACAGAACAGGTAGTCATCAAGTGATCCATCCCCTGTCACCCATTCCCAGCTTCTGGCAAATAGAGGCTAGGGACACCATCCCTGCCCATGCTGGCTAATAGCTAGGGTCCTACCAAATTCATGGCCATGAAAAACACGTCACTGACCATGAAATCTGGTCTTTTGTGTGCTTCTATCCTATACTATACAGATTTCATGGGGGAGACCAGCAATTCTCAAATTGGGGGTCCTGATCCAAAATGGAGTTGCAGGGGGTGTCAAAAATTATTTTAGGGGAGTCGTGGTATTGCCACCCTTACTTTGGCACTGCCTTCAGAGCTGGGTGGCCAAAGAGCTGTGGCTGTTGGCCGAGCGCCCAGCTCTGAAGGTATTGCCCTGCCAGCAGCAGCGCAGAAATAAGGGCGGAAATACCATGCCAGGCCATCCTTACTTCTGCGCTGCTGCTGGTGGCAGCTCTGCCTTCAGAGCTGGGCTCCCAGGCAGCAGCCGCTGCTCTCTAGCTGCCCAGCTCTGAAGGCAGCGCCGCCACCAGCAGCAGCGCAGAACTAAGGATAGCAGTACTGCAACCCCCCGGACGATAACCTTGCGACCCCCCCCCAACTCCTTTTTGGTTCAGGACCCCTACAATTACAACACCATGAAATTTCAGATTTAAATAGCTGAAATCATGAAATTTACGATTTAAAAAATACTATGATAGTGAAATTGACCAAAATGGATTGTGAATTTGGAAGGGCCCTACTAATAGCCATGGATGGACCTATCCTCCAGAATTTATCTAGTTCTTTTTTGAATCCTGTTATAGTCTTGGCCTTCACAACATCCTCTGGCAAGGAATTCCACAGGTTGACTGTGCATTGCGTGAAGAAATACTTCTTTTTGTTTGTTTTAAACCTGCTGCCTATTAATTTAACTTGGTGACCCCTAGTTCTTGTGTTATGGGAAAGAGTAAATAACACTTCCTTATTTACTTTCTCCACACCAGTCATGGTTTTATAGACGTCTACATTATCTCCCTTTAGTCGTCTCTTTTCTAAGCTGAAAAGTCCCAATCTTATTAATTTCTCCTCAGACGGAAGCCGTTTCATACCCCTAATCATTTTTGTTGCCCTTTTCTGAACCTTGTCCAATTTCAAAATATCTTTTTTGAGATGGGGCGACCATATCTTCAAGCAGTATTCAAGAGTCAATATGCAAAGTACTCCACTTTGGAAGGAACAATCAGTTGCACGCATACAAAATGGAAAATGACTGCTTAGGAAGGAGTACTGCGTAAAGGGATCTGGGGGTCATAGTGGACCACAAACTAAATATGAGTGAACAGTGTAACAGTGTTGCAAAAAAAGCAAACACGATTCCGGGGTGTATTAGCAGGAGTGCTGTAAATAAGACACAAGAAATAATTCTTCCCTCTATTCTGCCTCAACTGAAGTATTGTGTCCAATTCTGGGTGACACATTTCAGGAAAGATGTAGACAAATTGGAGAAAGTCCAGAGAAGAGCAACAAAGATGATTAAAAGTCTAGAAAACATGACCTATGAGGAAAGATTGAAAAAATTAGGTTTGTTTAGTTTGGAAAAGAGAAGACTGAAATGGGGACATGTCAAAGTTCCTCCCCGACTCTGAACTCTAGGGTACAGATGCGTGGACCCGCATGAAAGACCCCCTAAGTTTATTTCTACGAGCTTAGGTTAAAACTTCCCCAAGGCACAAAGTCTTTGCCCTTGGATTAGGTAAAACGCTGCCACCACCAAGTGTTTTAGACAAAAAACAGGGAAAGGACCACTTGGAGTCCTATTCCCCCAAAATATTCCCCCAAGCCCTACACCCAGGGGAGATAGTAACTGAGGCCACTTACTGGTATAGGGTGGGGCGCAGGGCTGGGGGGGATCAGCATCCCCCATCCAGCCCTTCCAGTCCAGCTGGCCTGTGCCACCCAGGGCTCCCGTGTTGATTTAAAGGGCCCGGGGCTCCGGACACTGCTGCTGGCGTAGCGGCAGTGGCGTCCGGAGCCCCTGGCCCTTTTAAATCGCTGGCCCCAGGGCAGTTGCTCCCTTTGCCCTCCCGCCCGTCGGAGGCCGGGGGGGCCAAAAGGGGCAGGAATGTTAAAGTGCTGCAGGGTCCTTTGCCACGGCAGCACTTTAAGGATGGTCCTTTGCCGTGGCAGCGCTTTAACATTGCTGCCCCTTCCCCCTGCTCCGTTGGTGGCCCTGCCAGTATGGACCCTACCAGCAGGACCGCCGACAGGGGAGGCAAAAGGGGCAGGGACATTAAAGTGATGCCGCGGCAACGCTTTAATGTGGGCTGGGTATGGGCCAGTGCGGGTTCTTACCGGTACGTAGTACTGGCCCGTACCGGTTCACTTTCACCCCTGCCTACACCCCCTTTCCTGGGGAAGGCTTGATAATAATATCCTCACCAATTTGTACAGGTGAACTCAGACCCAAACCCTTGGATTTTAAGAACAGTGAAAAATCAAACAGGTTCTTAAAAGAAGAATTTTATTTAAAGAAAAGGTAAAAAAATCACCTCTGTAAAATCAGGATGGTAAATACTTTACAGGGTAAGCAGATTCAAAACACAGAGAATCCCTCTAGGCAAAACCTTAAGTTACAAAAAGACACAAAAACAGGAATATACATTCCATCCAGCACAGCAAATTTTACAAGCCATTAAACAAAGAAAACCTAATGCATTTTCTAGCTAGATTACTTACTAACTTTACAGGAGTTGGAGAACTTGCATCCTTGATCTGTTCCCGGCAAAGGGTATCACACAGACAGACAAAAGCAAGCCTTTCCTCCCCCAGATTTGAAAGTATCTTGTCACCTCATTTTGGGTCAGGGTGCCAGAGAGGTTACCTTAGCTTCTTAACCCTTTACAGGTGAAAGAGTTTTGCCTCTAGCCAGGAGGGATTTTATAGCACTGTATACAGAAAGGTGGTTACCCTTCCCTTTATATTTATGACAGGACATGATAACTGTTCTCGTAGAATATCAGG